ACAGAGTTCAAGAGCACTGTAGGCTGCTGGGAAGATCAAGGGACTTCAGAGTCAGACCTGGCTACTGAGAGATGTGCTACTTTGAGAGCTTGTGGGACTTCAGAGTCAGACCTGGCTTGTGCTACTGAGAGCTGTGTGACTTTGAGCAAGTTACTTAGAGCTCTCTGATGTGAGGTTTCTCATCTGTAAAATGTGGAGATTGAACTTGATCTTAAAGTTTCCTTCCAGTTTCGTAAATTCCATGAAACTAAGATACAATAATACAGAGCGGCTGCAGAGTTGCTGAAGAGCAGCATGGAGAAAGGTTTCTTGAAGTCAGATAGCTTGTCACCATGTCATTCATCTGCAGAAACAGGACTGGCATTGTTAATTGTCATAATATCTGACACCTTATGTTAATCCCTGTTTAAGCAGTTTGCATACCAAATGCATACATGCTCTTTTAAAAAAACAAATAGGGGAGCTGGTAAAACCCCATCTCTACTAAAAATACAAAAATCAGCTGGACGTAGTGGTGCATGCCTGTAATCCTACCTACCCCAAAGGGAGGCAGGAGAATCGCCGGTGCTGGGTCCATCTGTCAGATCCTGACCTAGCGATGGATGAACAAATGCACTCAAATACAGGTATCCAGTGAAAGAGCAGGCTAGGCAGCAGGCCACTCACAGACACCAAAAAGGGTCTGGTAAAGAGTTAGCAGCCGCGGCTGACCAGCTGGCACTCCAGGCATTTATTCAGTATAGATTTAATGACAGAGGCTTTGAGTCAACACACTTTGGATAATGGTTAAAGGCCCGGTTCCAAGGCCTTTAAGCAAGCACCATTTGTGGGTAATAAGATTCCCCCAGTAGAGGGCAGTCATGTGCCCGTGGTTGTTCAAAGATCATCCTAAAGTCTTAGGACCGTATGAGTAAACAAGCTCTTTAGATAAACTCCCTTACATTCCTTTGTACCTACTGTAAGCTTTCAGGCACCAAATAAGAGAATCTGGCTGCCTTCAGCTAAATCCTATTCTGAGGCTTTTGCAAAAACCTTCCAGTTTTCCAAAAAAGTTTGTGTGTATTTTACAATTTTTCCCACCACCCTGACTGAACCCCTGCGTGCTGGAACCCAGGAGATGGAGGCTGCAGTGAGCCGAGACCACACCACTTCACTTTAGCCTGGGCGATAGAGCAAGACTTCATCTAAAAAAAAAAAAAAAAAAAGAGAGAGATCGAGACTCTCCATATATAGGATGAGCCCTAAATTTTAGGCTCCTGCATATGGAAACTGGCCTCCTTTTCAGTGTAACTTGCTCCAGGGCACTTTGAAGTTCCCAGCAGTCATCCTGGTCATTTAATTTCTGTGGTAAGGACATCACTTTCACAGCCTAGCTCTTCATTTCTTTTCCAAATCATTACTAATGCCCAATCAAACATTATTTCCAGGATACCTCCTTGAAGACAAAAGCCTATCCTATTATTTTTTAAAATATCTTTCAGCTTCTTTTCATCATGACTTATAAGATAGCCAAACTCTCAGATGGTCAGAAAATCAGAGCTGAAAGATCTTCTATGGTTCTTCTTTTCACCCCTTCCTGCCCCAGGTTTTAGCAGTTAGCTT